TTTATTGCAATAAATGCTTACTTGAAAGAATAGGAAGATTTCAAATAAATGACCTAATGGTATACCTCAAAGACCTAGGAAAAAAAGAACAATCCAATCCCAAAAGTAGTAGACAGAAAATAATAATTAAGGTCAGAGCAGAACGAAATGGTGCAACAGAGTCCCCCCAAATGGTACAAAAGATCAATGAAACAAAAAGTTGATTTTTTTGAGAAGATAAACAAAATAGACAAAGTATTAGCTAGGCTACTGTATTAGTCCATTTTGTGTTGCTATAACAGAATACCTGAAACTGGGTGATAAAAGAAAATGAAAATTTATTGCTCACGGTTTCTGAGGCTGGGAAATCCAAAGCCCATCTGGTGGTGGCAACAGTGACCCAGGGGTCTCACATTGAAAGATGGTGGAAGCAGAGAGAGCAGAGAGACAGACTCTCCTCTTCTTTTAAAACCCTCAGAACCATGCACTTGGCCACCATTTTTAATTCATTCACTACTGCACAGTCCTACAACCCAATCACCTCTTCAAGGCCCCATCTTATAATTACCATAATAGGAGTTCCCACCCTCTTAACAGTCATAGTAGGGGCTAAGTTTCTAATACATAAAACTTGGGGGATACCAGTCAAGTTTCACTGAGTTTGGGGAGGACATAATTCAATCCACTACAGCTACCTAAAAAAAGAAGAGAGAAGACCCAAATAACAAAAATCAGCAATGAAAAAGGGGACATTACAACTGATACCACAGAAATACAAAGAATCATTAGAGACTATTATTATGAAAAAGTTGAACAGAAGAGGGAACCCAGATAGAACTGCAAATGAATTAAAAATTTTTGAATAAATAGAAAAAAAATGTGTACTGGGTATAAACACAATAATTGATTAAAAAAAACTCTGCAGATATATGGTAGATTTTTAATATGGGTTAATGGGACAATGTGAGGCAAGGAAGAAATGAGAAAGGGGAGAGGGAAGCCAATCTAAAAAGGAAAGTAAAAAATATCACATTTACAAAGAATAGGATGTAAGATTCTATCACAAATGTTGATGTAAAATTATATAAAGATATATCTATTTAAAAATAAAAATTTTATGAACTAAAAGTGAAAAATTTAAGATTAGCTCACAGATTTCATTATTACCTTCTTGGTAATTACATGTGTATTAGTTTGTTTTAGCTAATATTCAGTTAAAAAGGTAAAATTAATTTTAGTTGTATATTTTAAAATAATTTGTGTATTATGATTTACATTGTCATACTTGCACTTTTTTTAGTACTCTTCCCAGTTCACAAAAATGAGTCAATGGTTCATTTAAGCATAAAAGCATCTATAGAAATAGTAATGCAAATACAATTCAAAATAATCCTATATAAATTGATATCAGGCCTTCGGTTTGGATATAGAATGTGAATTAATAGTGCTAAATGACTTTGCAAGGACTTTTTTACATGCAGCCAAAATAGAAGAGCACCAATAGAAATCACCCCTTTGCCAAATCTTAATTGCTTTAATTAACTCTAATTAAATTAAGCATTTGTGTGAAATTTGGGTTTCAAGTCCAAGATCTAGCGTCATTGTCTACATAGCGATAATTTTCCTGAATTATGGGAGGAAGTAGAGCAAGGTGAGGGTATTAACAGTAAGAAGTAAGGATCAATATTATTGCAGCCCTCAGGCTGTTTCCTCCTAATGGTAGCCTTAGGCTCTCTCTACAAACTACCACTCACCTATAGTCCACAGTTTTGGATGGCAAATGTGTTTTAAAGAAGATGCTCCCGATTTTTTATTTCTGGAAGTCCCCCAAAAAGATGATCTCTGGTTTTAGAAACCCTGATTTTCACACAGCATCTGAGAGAATGAACATAGCTTTCTAATATACTTCTAAAAAGAAATCCACGAAAGTGTATTGTAAATGCCTCTTTACCACCTTGATTCAGATCTCAGCCTCCATGTGAAGCGCCCTAACGAGACCTCTACGGAAGAGGAGATTTGGGCAGGAGCTTTCCTCCATTAGCTGTGCTTACATCTTTCCATATACATCGTCTTTCAGTGCTGTGATCATTGTTTATTATTCTCCTTTAGACCATCTCCAGGAATCTGCGTCTTTCTCTGAATGTTTGCAATTGTTCCCATTAGACACCTTCTATCCCCTTTTTTGGATCACCTCCAGATACCCTATTTTACAAACATTTCTAGGGAAATAATAATTCCTCTTGCCCGAGGCACATTTATTTCCTTTTTTGCACTTAGCTGTGATTTTTCTTTTTTCTTTTTAACCTATATACTGCTTTTTATTGCCTATAGTGAAGGACAGAGGTACAATCAAATTACAGGCAAGCAGGCTGCTTCCATAGATCTTGACTTGCCTGGAAGTATAGAAAGCCCCGGTGATTCCTGAGACCCTGGCCCACCAGTTTCCTCTGTCATAGGTACTTAGTCCATAGCCCAGTGCAGGAGGCATTTTACACAAGACTCTAATATTGGAAACTCTAGTCCTCAGAACTAGTTTTTCTTATCTGTTCCTCTCCCACATGGCTCAAGGTCATCCTCTCACCCCAGCCATATTTTTGACAAAAGTTGCCTAGTGTGATAGAATTCCTATTCCTGTCATGCACCCTTCCGGTGCCTCTGGGTGGAATGTGGGAGAAATGCAGTGGTAGTACTTTTACTGTGTTTACATCTCTCTGTTATCAGGACTTTCCATTCATCTCTCTTGGCACACCAAGATCCTCCCACTAGTTTCACTCATGCCTCTTCATCTACTGGTTATCCATGGGATAGAAGACAGGATTAAATTGAAAGGAGTTTTCCCTGACTCTGAAGATTTGTAGGTGATAACAATATGGAAGACCTCCAGTCTGTAAGTCTTAAAGTTTTGTCTGAATGGATACCCCCTGAAATGTAAGAAATCAGGTTTAAAGATTGGGATAAAGAGGATGAGCTACTGGCACCATGACATGAAACGATGCCAGAAAGTTAAAGGAATTGTTCAGAACTCTACTGGCTTGGAGCCTCAGAACTAGAAACTTGTTTTACAGGCTCCAGATGTACCCGTGTTCAGCCTTAAGGTGCTTGAAGTCCAATCTTCCCACTGGTTTGCGTCACTCTCTTTCCAACTTTCTGTGGCGAGCTCTGAGGCTGCTCACAAGTTCTTTTACAAATGAACAAATATATTACAAGTTATTAGTTCTGGATTTACATAATGTCTTTATGCCGATATAGTATCTGGTTACTTATGGTAATGGTGCTTGGAGTGGGGAACTTGATAATATCTCCCAGGATAGCTAGATACTTTCATACACGCTGCCCATTTTCCTGAAGCAGAAAGTCTTGGGATCCAAGTTATATCTGATTCTCAGAGTCTGCCTGCTCATATTCTATCTCTAATTCTGAGCCCTCAGCCATGAACCCCCACATCAGGGAACTCTCCCCAGTCTTTGTTCCGTGGCTGGGTTGGCTGGGCTTTTCCTGAAGCAGAAAGTCTTGGGATCCAAGTTATATCTGATTCTCAGAGTCTGCCTGCTCGTATTCTATCTCTAATTCTGAGCCCTCAGCCATGAACCCCCACATCAAGGAACTCTCCCCAGTCTTTGTTCCGTGGCTGGGTTGGCTGGGTAGTGCCAATGCTGATCCTGAGACCATGACATGTGATACATACACTCCTTTTCCACCTTTTGTATGTCTCTAGGGGAAAGAGGGAATTGGCTATGGACCTTTATTGTATGTTCTGATTGCCTCACTTGTATAGGCCCTGAGGCCACCTTTGTTTCTAAAGTAGTCTGGGGACATCCTGCTTCCTAGAACCAACCCTACAAGAAACAAAGGTATAAACAAAGCCAAACAGGAAACAGGGTCATGCTTTGAACTCTCTCTGGGCTGGGAACAATACCTGGTATGGCCTAGATATTGGGGAGGGGAAGGAAAAGTAGAGAGAATTACGGAAGGAGGCTGGCAGGCTCAGTGTTTTTGTCTTGGCATGACCAGTCTCTCTTCATCTTCTTCCTGGATATAGGGCTTGGTGCCAGTGCCCCTGAGGCTTTCTACATGAATATAAGCAGGTGAAGCTGAGTGGTGCCCCTACTTTAGGTTCTTGGGGACAGCCATAATGATGTCCTTTGTTCCCCTGATCCTGGTGGGCATTCTGTTCCCTGCCATTCAGGCCAAACAATTTACAAAATGCGAGCTCTCCCAGGTGCTGAAAGACATGGATGGCCGTGGAGGCATCACTTTGCCTGAATGTGAGTTCCCTTCTCCTTGCTTGATCCTGTTCCTCATCTGCTTCTCTCCTCCATTCTCCTTTCCCTCCCTCTCTCCTGCACTTTCACTTCATCTAATCCTCCTCCTGTCTTCTCTTCTTATCTACGTACTCTTTGGTTCCGTTTGTTCCCCCCTCCTTCCTTTCTCACATTTCTGATCCTTTTTGGAACTCTCCCCATCTCATCAAGACACACTACGCTTTGCCATCTTTGGAGACTGGCTGGAAAGGCTTTTTCTGTCTGGAAACTATGGCTCTTCATTTATGCTGATAATGGACATCTCTGTGATCCGTTTCTTGTCTTTCCTTCAGGGATCTGTACCATATTTCATATCAGTGGTTATGACACACAAACCATAGTCAGTAACAATGGCAGCACAGAATATGGACTGTTCCAGATCAGTGATAAATTTTGGTGCAGGAGCAACCATATTCCCCAGTCAAGGAACCTCTGTAACATCGCCTGTGACCGTGAGTAGCCTCCTGTACCTTGTTCCTCTGTTTTTCTGAGGCCTGTTCCTGTGATCATCTCCTTCTTGGCATCAAGCATGTATACCTCTGGCTTCACTGCCTTGGCTGCACTCCACAAAAACAGTGGGACTTGAATAGACAGTGCTGAGTAAGAAACTGTTTGGGTTTTTCATGATGGCCAAATCCCAGACAGTCCCCTGAAGTTCAGGGGTAGATGATTTGGCTTCACTGCCTTGGCTGCACTCCACAAAAACAGTGGGACTTGAATAGACAGTGCTGAGTGAGAAACTGTTTGGGTTTTTCATGATGGCCAAATCCCAGACAGTCCCCTGAAGTTCAGGGGTAGATGATCTGAGCTGTCTGGGAATTTTGAAGTTTGATATTCTCCATTTTCAGGGTAAGTCAGTTGATGAAGTTGATGATTCCTCCAGAGCTGATCCAGGGAACGGAAGGAAGTCCCTACCCACGGGGAGGCATTACAGTGTTGGTATTTTCATATAAAAGACAACAGGCATAGTTTTCTTCAGTTCAGAGAAGAACCAGACACACTGAATCCAGGGAATAGGGGAACTCATTACCTTTCTGGGTCATATTTCTTAGCTCTCTCATTCCTTTCCCTGCTACCCCTGCCAGAGTTCCTGGATGATGACCTTACTGATGACATGATGTGTGCCAAGAAGATTCTGGATAATAAAGGAATGGACTACTGGTGAGTCCTCATTCTATTTTCTTCTTTCCCTCCCTACTTCCCCTTACCCCTTAACTGAGCACCACTTTCCTATATCCTGGTCATTTAATCAAGAATAGAGTCTCCAAAACAAAACTCATCTAGCAGACTCAGGTTTCCATTTCTTAAGCCCCCTTTGCTCCACTTCTGTGTGGCAACTTTCCTAATAGTGTGTTCCCTAATGCAGGGCTGAGACCCCGACCTCCCTTCACCTGACCTTGGACATCTAATTCCACTGGTTTAGTCTCATATGCTAAAGCAAGCTGTTGGTATTGAACATCTTTTCTAGCTCTATAATTTTCTTGGATTTTTTTTAAGGACCTTTCCCGACAAGATGGCTTAGCGTCCTTTGCCATCTAGCTAAGACATTTCTGTAATTCTCACTCTTCCATCTCAGCACTCCTGGGGATGAAACTAGATGGAAATTTGAGCTAAGATCCAGTCAGTCAACTCACCTTGTCCCCATCTCCATTATCAGGTTGGCCCATAAGCCACTCTGCTCTGAGAAGCTGGAACAGTGGCTCTGCGAACAGTTGTAAGCACCTGCTATCCCCGCTGCTCCTGCCCTCTCTGTGCTCCTGGAACTCCTCTTCCCCCATGCTACCTCAGTTTGCTTCTTTCTACCCCTCTGAAATTGATTTGACTCTGAGCCCTGGGCCCTGGAGTGACACCATTGGACTCTTGAGGACTGTTCTCCAGGGATGCATGGCTGGTGTGCTGGACTTTAGACCCTGGCCCAATGCTCCTGATGGCACTCTTACCACAGCAACAGATTCTGTCTCTGTCCTGAATAAAGGGCCTGATTTGAAGTGACTGGCTATATTTTTTTCCTGGAGGGAAAGGGAGGAAATGGGTGAGTGGGTGGACACTGAGGCCACAGTTACAGCCACCTTCCATGTTTACTGAAGAGGAAGTTGGCTGAATTTACAACACAAAGATATGGTTACTTTCTGTACCAATTCAATTCAACAGACTTTTATTGTTCACCTAGTATATTCGAGAAACTACAGAGGGGTGCAAAGTTGGCTAAAAGGGTCTCTTCCCTCAAGGACTAATAGGAGAGATAAGGTAAATATCAATAAATAGTTATAGGGCCGGCCCCGTGGCTCACTTGGGAGAGTGCGGCGCTGGTAGTGCCGAGGCTGCGGGTTCGAATCCTATATAGGGATGGCCGGTGCGCTCACTGGCTGAGCGTGGTGCGGGCAACACCTGCTGAGGGTTGCGATCCCCTTACTGGTCAGAAAAAAAAAATAGTTATATACAAGAAATAGTATCATAATTATCGTGAGAGAGGTTACAAATGTGCCCTGGACATTCACAAAATGAAAGATAATTTATATTTGGGAAGAATGTGGGAAAAAAGGATCAAGAAAGGATTCATGAAGTGGGTGGCATTCAAATTGGTTTTGAGGTATGGGTAGGATTTTGAAAGGTAGAGATGTGGGTGGTAAAAGGACAGCATGAGCAGGGGATCTAAGAATCTGAAATGTGTGACTTGTGGGGTGAGGGATTTTCTTATCCTTTGTGAAGAGCTGTGAAAGGAATTCTCTCTCTGGAAACTAGAGATAGAACAGGAACCCTTATGGTAGCTCAGTGATTCTTAGGAAGCTGTGCACCTGGGGCCTCTGGGCTGGCCCATCCACTCAATTACCCCTCCTTGCTGCTTCACTAGTTTCTAAGGAGGATTTTTGCAGAATTTTATTTATTCTAATGATTATGGACTATATGAAAGAAGAAGAATCAGGAGATTTGGGTACTAAAGTCTGTTTCTGCTACTCATTGATGGTCTGAATCTGGGCAGGTCATCTCTGTCCTCTGTGTCCCAATTTCCTCATCTTGAAATCAGGGTTTTGCTCCAGATGGTTTTCTGAGATGTCTTCCTACCTTGATGATCCAGCATTTCAAAACTACAATTTAATTTACCACATTTCTGAACTAGCTGGAAATGAAATTCACAACTTTTTCCTGTCTCCTTGCCTTCTAAGATGTCTAAGATTGCTGGTTACACCCTTTCCATCCCAATACACTCTGGGGCTTTAGACAGTCAGCCCTGCTTCCCTTGTCTCAGAAACCAGCAGCTCCTAAATGAAGCCCCCCACGTTTCGGTGATCTGTAGAGCTAGATAAGGTGTAAGGAAGCTGCCCACTATAGCTAACAAAGACAAACTCTCAGGAAATAACTTGGTATTAGTCATATCATTTTAGTGTGAATTTAAACACAGTGCATTTCCCAGGGGTATTGCATGTTACTCCCTTCCTAATTATGGGACAAAAGACTTACCCTCAGGTCTACAGGGTTTCAGGAGTAAACCCTGTGTATGATGTGTATGAGAGGGCAGAGTTGGATGGCAAATCTTCCTACTGAGCTTACAAATCTACTTCTCACCTATTAACCTGGCTCAGCTACACCGTCAGATAGCCACATGCTGTACAAAATATGAGGGGCCAGGTTTATCAGGTGGCTGGATCAGGAACTCAACTAAAGCTGAGGTTGTGCTGCCTCAGCCTTCATGCTACAGCCCAGGCCTTTATCCTACAGAGAAGATGAGGAAAATTCACTTGTGAGGACAAATACACTCATATATGAGGCCAGGACCTTCAGGGGTCTTTGCTGAAGGAAACTGGCAATAACAGATGCATTTGTAGAGAAGATCTTAGCCTGAGGGTCAAAAGATCAAAAACAGACAGAAGCCAGGAAGCTGGCATGAAAGCAGTTTTTTTTCTTTTTAATATTCATCCATTTATTGTCACAGTGGGTTATGATACAAATGTTTATGGACCCCTACTACGGAGCAGTTATTATGTGTTTTCTCATAATTTAATTTTATTGTTATTATTATTATTATTTAAAGATGACAGGTAAGGGGATCTTAACCCTTGATTTGGTGTTGTCAGCACCACGCTCTCACTAGTGAGCTAACCGGCCATCCCTACATAAGGATCCAAACCCGTGGCCTTGGTGTTATCAGCACCACACTCTCCCAAGTGAGCCACGGGCCGGCCCTCTCATAGTTCAATTTTAGTGTGTTCAGTTGTAAGTGATCTTTGAAGTAAAACAAATAAACAAAGAAAATGCCACATTCTTTGTTATAAGCAACACTCTAAGGCACTTGGGGTCAGCATTTGTAGTTCTCAGGCAAACTCTTGTTCCTAGTCTGTCTGTACATATTTTTCTCCCCACTGGTTTATACACTTATTTTACTCCACTGTTTAACACGGTGTCACTGAATTATGAATTCTCTTGAGAAAATCAATCAATCAATCAATCGATCAATCAATCAGTTGCCTTCTTTATCCAGTCAAGTATGGCTAAATCGTCTTTATGACACAGAGTCACCAGCAGTAGTTCTTCTCCTTCTCTTCTTCCTTCCTGTGTCCTCCTACTCATTCTTCCAAATAAAAGTCATATGTGTTAAGGTATGTGTACACTGTGAAATGATCACCACAATTCAGCTAATTTACATATCCATCACCTCACATAGTTACCATTCATTTAAAAATTTTTTTTGACAGTCTTTTTAATTGAGAGATAATTGATTATATACATTTGTGGAGTACAGAATTGAATATCAATACGTGTGTATAATATGTGTTGATCAAATCAGTATATTAGTACACTCATGTTTGCAAAACACAATCAACCATTGTGACCCTCAACTAGTTTCTCACCAACCCATGGCCCCCTCCCTCTTTCTCACCTCTAATAACCACATTTCTGTTCTTTTTTTTTGAAAGTTTAATGTATTATTGTGATTCCTTCCTTCCTTCCTTCCTTCCTTCCTTCCTTCCTTCCTTCCTTCCTTCTTTCCTTTTAGCTCCCACTTATGAGTGGGGACATGCAGTATTTCTCTTTCTGTGCCTGGCTTATTTTACTTAACATAATTTTCTCTAAGTTCATCCATGTTACTGCAAATGGCAGTATTTCTTTTTTTTTTTTATGGCAGAGTAGTATTCCATCGAGTATAAATACACCACGTTTTCCTTATCCAGTCATCTGTCAATGGGCATTTAGGTTGATTCCAACTCTTGGCTATTGTAAATGTAGCTGCTGTAAACATGGGAGTGCAGGTATTCCTTCGATATGATGAGTTCCATTCCTTTGGGTATATACCCAACAATGGGATTGCTGAGTTGTATGGCAGTTCCATCTATAGTTGAGAAACCTCCATACTGTTTTCATAATGACTGTACTAATCTACAGTTGCACCAAAAGTGTAGGGAGTGTTCCACTTTCTGCACATCTTCACCAGCATTTTTTATTCTCTGTCTTTTGGTAGTAGCCAGTCTAAATGGGGTGAGATAGTATCTCAGTGTGATTTTGATTTGCATTTCCCTGATGCTGAGTGATGTTGAGCATTTTTTCATATGTCTGTTGGCCATTTGTACATCTTCATATGAGAAATGTCTATTCAGCTCCTTTGTCTATTTTTTTTTTTTTTTAGCTGGGTTACTTGTTTTCATACTGTTGAGTAGTTTGAGTTGTTTGTGTATTCTGGATATTAATCCCTTGTTGGATGCATAGTTTGCAAATATTTTCTCCCATTCTTTAGGTTGTCTTTTTGCTCTGCTAATGGTTTCTTTTGCTGTGCAGAATCTTTTTAGTTTGATATAGTCCTATTTGTTTATTTTTTCTTTTGTTGCCTGTGCTTCTGGGGTCTTATTCATAAAGTCTTTGCCCAGCCCTATATCCTGAAGTGTTTCCCCTAAGTTTTCTTATAGGAGTTTTATAGTGTTTCATGTCATATAATTAAGTCTTTAATCCATTTTGAGTTGATTTTTGTGTATGGTGAGAGGCAGAGGGTCTGGTTTCATTCTTCTGATATGCATGTCCAATTTTTCCAGCACCATTTATTGAAGAGGCAGTCTTTTCCCCAATGTATGTTCTTGTTGCCTTTGTCAAAGATCAGTTGGCTGTAAGTATGTGGGTTGATTTCTGGGTTCTCTATTCTGTTGCATTTGTCTGAGTGACTGTTTTTATGCCAGTACCATGCTGTTTTGGTTACTATAGCTTTGTAGTATAATTTGAAGTCAGGTAGTGTTACGCCTCTAGCTTTATTTCTTTTGCTTGATTGCTTTGGCTATTTGGGGTCTTTTGTTGTTCCATGTGAATGTCAGGATTGCTTTTTCTTTTCTTTTTTTAAAAAAAAGATGACAAGTAAGGGGATCTTAACTCTTGACTTGTTGTTATCAGCACCACACTCTCCCAAGTGAGCCATGGGCCAGGAGGGTTGTTTTTTCTGTTTCTATGAAGTATGTCCTTGGTATTTTGATGGGGATTGCAGTGAACCTATAGATCACTTTGGGTAGTATGGACATTTTCACAGTGTTAATTCTTTCAATCCAAGAGCATGGAATGTCTTTCCATATTTTTGTGTGCTCTTTAATTTCTTTCAGCAGTTCTTTTTGTAGAGATCTTTCATTTCCTTGGTTAAATTGACTCCCAGGTATTTCAATACCTAGAATCTGACAATAAAAGATTTATTGGTAGAGAGGATCTTAGCCTGAGGGTCAAAAGATCAAAAACAGACAGCAGCCAGGCAGCTGGCATAAAAGCAGTCTTTTCTCTTTTTAAAATTCATCCAGTTAT